GGGAAAGAGTGAGAGCAACTGTACTTGAAGCACTTAGGGGTGAAAAAAGGCAAGAAACAATAGTCTCCTAATATGTCTTTTTTTTTAGGAATCTGAAAAATACTATTATCTGGTAAAGTACTACAACAGATATGCAACTGACACTTATGCAGCCTTCATTATGGCAAATAATCTACTCCAGTTTGGACAGCATGGCTAAATCCAGCACCTGGGCAACTATACACTACCCACTAGTTTGATACAATCCTGGACATTACCAGGATTGGGAAAGCAGCTCATTCTGATAGGCAGCCCAAGAAGAAAAGCTCTGTTGCAATTACCAATGTCAAATTAGATCCCTATTGCATGAAGACAAAGCAAGCTTTAAATACCAGGAAACCAAATCTGCTATAAAGCACAACAACCAACTGGAAAGGTGACTGAAACTACTATTAAGTATTTCCCCATTAACTGGAAGAACACATCCCCCCCCCAATTTCACAACACAGGCATATTACAAAACTTAATGCTTTCAAATGACCTATCTACAGCCTTTCTGCTATATACAGCAAAACGAAGTTTACAGTCAGACTGAGACTTCTAAGCTGAACTTTATTGCTCTTACAGAACAGAAAACCAAGAAGAAACATGGAAAAGCAAGCACAGAAAACACCACATCAGAAGTAACAAACCCAGCAGGAACAGAATTCAATTAGGAAGAAGAAAGCAAGCTAAAACAAAAAAAAAAAAAAAAGGAAGTCTAGAAAAGGAAAACAGCTAGCAGAGGGGCTTCAAGAGGCAGTATAATTCCGGAATACCTACTAAAGTGCCTTTTACAGTTAAAAATACCAGTTTATCCCAGTTAGTATGATGAAGCTATCATACTGCAATGTACTAGCTGCCTGATGTAGATGGAGTTAGTGGTCTAGCAGTGCTTATTTCCATAAAAAAGGAAAAGAAAGGAAAAGAAAGGAAAGGGAAAAGGAAAAGAAAGGAAAGGGAAAAGGGAAAAGGGAAAAGGGAAAAGGGAAAAGGGAAAAGGGAAAAGGGAAAAGGGAAAAGGGAAAAGGGAAAAGGGAAAAGGGAAGGAAAGAAAGAGAGAGATGAATCTTTTCCCCCATCTTCCTCCTCAGGTGTCCAGGTCCTATT